CACAATTTGGTTAGTCAGATATGATTCAAACAGCCTTAGCACTGTACCTCTTATGCCATACCTTTCTAATTTTAACTTCAATATTTCTTTATTCATAGTATCAAAGGCTTTAGATAGGTCAAAAAAGGCAGATACTGCCAGGGTTTTGCTATTCCAAAGGTCCATGATTCTATCAATAAAATTGAAAATTGCTAATTCCGTATTACTACCTTTAACAAAACCATATTGATATGTAGAAGTTATGTAAAATTTATTACAATATTTGATTAATCTTGTAAATATGGATATTTCTAAAATTTATATAAAATAGGTCCATAGTTATTAACATTAGTTTCAGGACCTTTTTTATGCAAAACCCTGACAATAGCCAACTTTAGACTATCCGGAAAAATACCATTTTGAAAACAAAGATTTCATCCCAACCAGTGGATTTTTTATTTTTAAATTATTTATAATGTACCTATACATGGTGTTCTGAAATTAGTGCACTATACTTTAACAGAAGATTCTACGTGCAAAAATAAAAAGTCCCTATAAACATAGATCAAGAAATGCCTCTTAAGGGAGCTACAGCCCCCAAAAGGAAAGCCCCTGAAGATGGTTTTTATTTAATATCTCTAAAACCGTTAAAGATAGAAAAGTGAAATTTGGGAAATTAATTAAACTTTTTATGACCAATAAGACGTAACAATAAAAATTTAAAAAAATTCATGAGGTTTGGGTCAGATTGATAGGAAGTGGGGCTAAAACCACCTTATTTTTTTGTACATATCTTGTACCAGAATTTGATGTCAGATTATCAAATTTAGGAGTTTTGCACATAAAAAAGGTCATCTTGTTGAACTTTGATAACATACACAGTTTTCGCTTAAAATCGATTTGAAAATTATTTTACCCGGCATAAAAATTCACAATTAAATCACAACCATGGAAATGGACTCGCGTGGTCCTTGGAATGCGGTTGCAATGTTTAGGAAAACAGGTGAGTTTCATGTAGTAAGTGACAGGGTGTAAATATTAGATAAAAACCATATTCAGGGGCTTCCTTTTCAGGGGCTGTAGCTCCCTTAGGAGGTATTTCTCGACCTATATTTATAGAGACTTTTTTCTTTTTTTGCACGTAGAATCTGCTGTTAAAGTATGGTGCACTAATTTCGAAACACCCTGTATATAGGTACACTTCAACAGCATTTTAAAGAATTCCCTATGGCCATGTATTGGGATTGCCTATCGTTTTTTATTCTTATCCCGCTTATCCTTTGCGTTAGATAATTTTAGTTTTCAAATATGTGTTTCGCCTAACTTTCAGCACGTTCCCTTTTTCTCTGTGGTACGAGTTCTGGGACACCCTGTATACTATAATCAAAATTTTTAAAATTCCTAATATTAAGTTTTTAAAACATAAAATTTTACAAAATTCATGGTATTTTTAAAATAACAAACAGTATTAATCATAAATCATAAAATTTGTTACCTACGCCCCTGACTATCCATCTCCATCCCCTTCTGTACCTTGACGGTGCATCAGAGCAAGTGGCAGCATATTTCACAAGCCCCGAACTGAAATAAACGACTCAGGTTATACTGCATTAATTTCGCGTGCTTACGTTGAAGAGCTACGGCCAAAAATTCTAATTGCCAAATTAAGCCGAAACCCCGGTTACTTTTTTGATTTCGAGACCCCTCGCGCCTCTATCCGAAAGTGACGTCACTTTCCTTCTCCAAGAGTTTAGTGTTTGGTTCGCAACGAGATACATTTTATGGGATTCATTAAAAGTGACGGTTCGGTTAATTGCTTAGGTTTGTTACGGGGATTTTAAGGGCGCAACCGCTTAAATTTTAGATTTATTTCACTTCTCAGTTGTACACTTAACCCAGTTGCGGCTCGTCAGGGTAGGCCTCTGAGGCAGCGCCTCACCCTAAAAATGAAGGAACGACCTTTCACTACAGTTCTACACAATAAAAAGTAAAAAAAAAATCAATCAATCAAATGGTAAATTAAAATCCACGCTCAAACCGTGTCAACCCACTTCACCGTTGAGAGTCGACCGAACAGAGGCGAAATATGTATAGCCTGTGAAGCTCCTACTTACCACACGGAAAAAAAGCTATTTTATTTTAAGATTAATCTATCAGTCCAAGTATATGTTCATCTCACCATTCCGCAAGTAGTATAGATACTTTTTATTTAAGGATTGATTTATTCTTATTTGCAAATTACATGTAATTTCAATATTATTTTAAATGCAAGCACCCTCAAATAAAATATACACTATGCTTAATTTACGATTAAGTATTTTTTGATACAAATGTTGGCGAAACAATATTTACTTTATATTAAATATAAGGTATCTTTATCTAGCAATAATTGTTTCAAATATTGTCTATTCTTTTTTTAACTTTTGCTCGACTTTAAGATATAAGGACCATCCCAAGCAGCATTTTTGGTTCCAAAAACCATTGCCAAAGTGGTGATAACTTTAAATAAGTTAAGTATACTAAACAGCTACTTTAATTTTTCCTTAAAAGTAATTCTAACTATTAAATAGCAATATTTTGTAACAGAAACTTAATTTTTCCTTAAATGGTTACTATAAAGTAATACACATTTAAGTAAAACTTGGTTGCCCCCAAGAAGACTTTGCAACTTTAAAAAAGTTGTTATAAGTAAAAACAACTTTCAAGTAAATTTAATTTGTAGCAGTTACTTTCGGTTGCTACCTAAAGATTACATTATAATTATTTTTACTTTGTAGTCCCTTTGCAAGTTAAAATCTCGAAACTGGAACATGAGTTAAAAACTACAAAGTTAATAACTTAAAAGTTATTATTTTAGTATTTGGAACGTTTATGGTACTAACCAAAACAACCTTAAAGTGGAAAAAACTTTAAAGTAGCGAAAATTACTTCAAAGGAAAATGCTTCTTATCGGCCATTTTTTACTGTACAGTACCACGTGGTAATGTAAATAATAAATTATTTTAGTTGTTTGTAAATGGTTGTTTACTTTTTAATAAATAGTAATTTTGTTGGTAATAGACGGTAATAATAATTAAATAAAAAAATTAATAATAAATATTAAGATTTTTTTATTTATAAACTTTACTAAATAAATAATTTGTTTATACTTAAATATTGATGAAGCGCATTTATTTTACAAAAACTAAATTCAAAAGTTCAACAGTAAAATTTAAAGGGTTTATAAATTTACCTGCCTAATTAAACAGTATATTGTTATTCTGAAAGTTATAAACTATCAGTACATATTTAATAAACGACGACATTGAAAAGCCAAGTCCGTAGTGGTTCCACTTAAAAAAGGAGGGATAGTATAATAGTTAATATAGAAGTAAAAACAAATAAATAAAAGAAGTAAAAACAAATAAATAAAAGTAATTATAACGCTCTAGCAACGATATTGGAACGTTCTAGTAACGTAGCAGCTACGTTCCAAATAGTAGCAGGGTTTGTAGCTAGTGACATATTTGCTACCTTTTTGGAACTCAATAATTGTTCCCCACTTTAGTCGTAACTTAGTAATAAAAGAGTAATATAGAGAGACCGGCGACTGTCGCAAAACACTTTAAAGTTTCTTCAATAATCCCATATACGTAACAAATACTTAAATTGTTGCTTGGGATGTTTATTTTAAAAGGCAAAGAGTGGATTAGGCTATCTATTTTTTAAGACTAATAGAAAAAAATAGATAGGATAATCCACTCATTACCTTTTACATAGTAATTATATCCTAACCTTTAAAGTCAAGCAAAAGTTAAAAAAAGAATAGACAATATTTGAAAAAATTATTGCTTAACTTAACCTGAAAAAAATGGTATTGGTCTATGGCATTGTCTTTATTGCAATGTTTCAAATAACTGCAATAATTTTTTCAAACCTTCAGACACGTTAATTTTGTTTGCGAGACCAACATTTTTTGGCTAAACCAAAATTTGTATTAGGTACGAATAAAAATTTTGGTTAAACAGGCCAATATTATATATAATCAAGAGGTCAAATATACATAATAATTATGTGATTCTTCGGTTAACCTAATATCACTCCAACATCTAAAATTCAATACATAATACTACACACATAAATATAATTATGTAATAATTATTACCAGCTCTTTCATAATTCCAAACCAAATATTAACTAACACAAGAAACAATCTTCCAAAATGTCGGACACTTTCTTGAGTGGTTGATATTTTTAAGAATAGGCCAGTCGTACCAATATTTACTAATCTTGGAATAAATATAATTATATTTTTATCCAGTATAGTTTTATATTTTTAAGAACAGAAAAAGGGAATTTCTAAAATTTGGTCTAATCGATTGTTAATCTTAAATTAAGAATAAGATTATTTCATTTAAAGTCTTTTTTAACATTTAACAGGCAAGAATAAGATCTGCCTGTTTAAAGAAAGATTAATATTTAGTTTAATGTTAGTTTTAGCCTTGACAATATTACGTCAATCATCTTGTTTCAACTGTACTTGATTTTTTTATTTAAGGATAGGTTTATATTTAAAAGAAATTTAATGTATTTGTAGCTTAAGCAAATTATACTTAAATCAAGTGAATTTTTTCAAAAATAAAGGTTTTCTTACATTTAGAAAACATTTTTTTCCGTGTATACACCCACGAGCCGCCACTGACTTAACCTTTTACTTAAACCCTTTATTCTTTAATGTCGCACGTCACTGGCGTATTAAGTCATTTTCCTGTTAATCCAATTAAGTCCGTTACCTTGCAGGAGGCAGCAGGAGAGGCAACAGTGACTGTTTTAAATTCCCCTCCCATTTAAGGAACATGTTCCCATGGCCCAAACCAGGGCCTTGGATTAAATGCATACTCTCAAATCATCCATTACGTTTTAAGGGGTTTAGCTGGATTTGAATGTCTTCAGCGTGAAACAACAGACGAATAGTTTGGATTTACCTAAGCGATAAAGACAAATATTGGGTGCTTTAAATTTTTATTTTTTATTTTTTTTATGGTTTATATTTATAATTTTCATAATATAATTAAAGTAACACAATACATACTTAGTAGATATGGTTTGTAATAGGTAAAAAACATAATATGTATAATATAAATATATCCTTATTTAGCTTTCTTAATAGACATAAGCCTATACCTAAAATGCGAAACATTTTCCTCATCCATGAAATTCCTCATAACCTCAAAAGGAATGACGACGCATTGCCCCTTCTCGAAAATCTTATCCGCTGAAACCACATCACTTCTGCAGATTTCCGTAACTTTAAACTTCTTGATAGGACCATTAGCAACCTCAAACTCATAGTAGTAACACTCCGCTTGATTCTTGGGACCGATAAACTGAAACGCCCAGTATATCTTTTCCGCTTTGACATCTACGCGGTGTTTGTAGAAGAAATATTGACCTCCTTCGAGATATGTAATCATCTGGACATCGGAATAGTTTCTTGAGAGGTCGAATTTCATGTCGGCTTCGGACTTAAATGATAATTGTTGGTTTATGTGGTCTTTCTTGAAGTGCTTGTACATTTCTTCCAGAGTTCCAGACCACTGGCATTTCCATTTTGCGAACTTGTGGCCTTCGCAGATGAAGTTTCTGTATTTGCATTCCAGCTCGTGGGACTCTTTTTTTGCCACTGATAAACTGTAGGTACACCCTGGAAAAGTTGACTTGAGAGGGAAGAAATCACGCATTTACACAGTTCTTACCTTTTGAATGATAACAGCACTGCAACTTCAAGACCTTCTGTATTCCTTCAATTAGTTGCTCTAACTGAAAATTTCTGATTTTGGAAATTGCACCTCGACATGTCGGACATTTGGTGATGTTGTTTGCTTTTATACAATCACCACACATGCTGTGTCCACCCATGCACTGGGTGATAGGTGATTTCATTGTCTCCAAGCAAATGGGACATTGCATAATTTTATCTGGCTGACTGGACATACTATAGTATAAGAAATACAAGAAATGTTCTATTAATTATGATTATAATTGAGTAATATATAAATTAATTGACCTACCTATATATTTTTAACACATTTACCAAATTTATGAAATTAATAAAAAAACATTGTTCATGAAGTTCCATGTTTTTGACAAGCATACAACATACAACATACAACATAAAATTTGGTACATTTGTTGGGTCAATTCTTTTAAAAAGTTTTTTTTGTACAATCAGGAATAACAAGAATGGGCATAATATCCACATTTATTCCGCCATTTTAAAAAACTTAAATAAGACTAAAATATATTTTTCTATAACTTTTTACAATGATAAAAAAATTACTTTAATATTTTTTTTCTTAAAATTTAATTTAATGATTTTAAATTAATTATATGCTATAAAAGTTTATAAGTGATATTTGTATGGCACTCCGTTTTACTTTTTAATCGGATAAAAAATTGTTAATTAAAGTTAAATATTAAATCTTTAAAAAATAAATTGCACTGAAAATTATTACCTTAAAGTAATACATTAATTAAAATTATAAATTATGTCAAAGAAGTTATTCTTTTTTTTAAATAAGATGTTGAATTATTTATTTGATGGAATTTTTCTGTGTGCAATATTTTCCTGACACAATAATATTTAACTTATTATTTCTTATACAATTAAAAAGTAAAACGGCGTGTCATAATTAATTTTTTCTACTCCCACCTTTAAAACGCCCTTTATCGTACATGTTTCCATGACACCAAGTGACCTTTTAAATACACATTGACAAGTTGTGGCTTTATGGCGCTTTAGTCACGGGCTGAAGTTAGCAACAGGTTTAGTCACGGGCTGAAGTTAGTTTTAGGTTAGTTGACAGTTATCAAATGTCATACAATCGTTAAAATAAGGTGCCTTTCATGTAAAATAATACTAAATGTGAAAATTATTTTATTATCTCAATACAAAAATACAAAAGTATTAAATAGTTTCTCAACGCCAATATTTGAAAAGTTTATATGATCATTGTACTGACCTTTTAATTTCGCCGGCAGTAAACTATAACTTAAATTCGGGCACGGACTCCACTGTAAAGTGCTCATAAAACATTTTCTTTACTTGCACTGTGAAAAACTGTCAATTTTCAAAAAATACATTTCGATTTATAACCTTTATATTGTGTCTATAAAATATAAAAAATTTACATTTGAGGGTGACACACAGATTTCCCTATTGTTTCATAGATGGCGCTCTATAGAAAATTTTGATTTAAATCATTTTAAGATAATAATAAGTATTTGTCGAAGAAAAAGTATAGTATGCACCTCGTTTATAAACTTTTCTATACACTCATTAATTTAAGCACCCGCTCGCAAGCTCGCTCGTGCCTAAATTAAATTCGTGTATAAAATGGCGTTTATCAAACTTGATACATAATATACTATTATGTGTACCTACGCATAATTTTAATTCTAATAAAAAATGATACAATTAATTTTATGTGTACAGGGTGATCCCCTATAATGTCGCCCCCCTTTAATTTTTTTATTTTAAGTGTCCCAAAAAATTTAAAAGTGTGGTTATGTAGGAACTAAAAAATACTCTTTTTCTACGTATAAAGAAAATTGGAAAAAAGTTAATTTTTTTTCAATGGATCACCCTATATTTTAATTTATTTTTCGATTCCTTGTAAAATTCTGAGCATAATTTATATACAAACCATATACCTAAATTCAACCGTTTCTGAAATATTCGCATTCGAAATGTCATCATTAAATGTTTTTTTAAATTGTTAAAAATCAAGAAGCCTCAGTATACCAAAATTTTTATTGAAAATAAATTACTATAGTGACATTATGTCAATAAGTGTAAAAAAAAATGGCGTATTCAGACAGAGAAATACAAACTATTTCAACTTATTATCTTAAAAATAATTTAAATATTTCAGAACCGGTTAAATTTAGGTATATGGTATGATATATGAAATATGCTTAGAATTTTACTAGGAATCGAAAAATAAATTCATATATAGGGTGATCCATTGAAAAAAAAAATTAACTTTTTTTTTTCCCTGTATACTGATCAATTTTCCAATTTTATTTATACGTAAAAAAAAAGTATTTTTTAGTTCCTACATAACCACACTTTTAATTTTTTTGGGACACTTAAAATAAAAAAGTTAAAGGGGGGCGACATTATAGGGGATCACCCTGTACAAATAAAATTAATGCACTGAATTTTATTTTTTTATTAAAATTATGACTATATATAATACTATATGTATAATGTATATATATAATACTATATGTATAAATTATATACAGTATAATACAAATTTTAAAATAATTTTTTTGTGTACAGATAAAATTATATAATTAATTTTATGTCTTCTTCTTCTTCCTTGGTGGCCTAAGGCCTTAATGGTCTCGGTTTCAATGAACCACTTTGACCAGCAACAAGTTTTAATGTCCATGCGCTTCATGAAGCCATCCACCCATAGACACGTGAATTTTCCAAATCTTGGATCATCCACTTAATGTATTGTACAAATCACAAAATACCTCGCTAGAAGGTCAAATCTTGCGATATTGTCCAAAAATACAGGTATATTTCTGTACCCGGAATTCAATTTTGTCCCTCCTCGGTCAAAGTCAGCTATGTTTCAGACTTTTCATCGAGCAATGTCCCAGAGATATAAATGCGATGAACCACACACGAAAGACAAAATCGAACTTTTATGTCTACACATAAAATGAATTTGGCGCTGAAAAAGTGCGGCCGAAAGTGGCAACTGCAGTAGTTCAAATGGTAGGTATGTTTAATTTATCTACGTCATATAATTATATCACAAAACTAGAACCTTCTAGTTTTGTGCACTATATACGTAGAAAAAAATTCTATAATTATATAGATAGAAGAAAACCCGATTTTATTCGCATATTGGCGCCAAAGATGACGTGGATAAATTACGCATAAATACCTACTATGCATTTGAACTACTGCAGTTGCCACTTCCTGCTGCATTCCCAAAGTGCCAAATTAATTTGATGTGTAGACATAAAATTAATTATATAATTTTATCATGAATATGAAGTTAGCAAAGCATCCATCGCTAATCAAAAAGCGATTAGATGCATAATTTGCCGTTAATTTGTCGTTAATTAGTTGTGAAAAAATTAATTTTGTCGTTCGAATATTTCTTTGTTTTTACGGGTGCTTTGTTAACTTTATATGAAGTTAGCAAGGCACCCCCCTTAAATATCTGATAAAAAAAAATTTAATAGTTAATATTTTGCCGTTAATTTGCTTTGGTAACTTCATATGAAGTTAGCAAGGCAGCCCCCTTAAATATGTAATAATATATTTTTTTAATTGTTAATATTTTGCCGTTAATTTGTCGCTAATTAGTTGTGAATAAATTAAATTTGTCGTTAGCATATTTCTTTGTTTTTATGGGTATTTTGTTAACTTCATATAAAGTTAGCAAGGCAGCCCCCTTAAATATGTGATAATATATTTTTTTAATTGTTAATATTTTTCCGTTAATTTGTCGCTAATTAGTTGTGAATAAATTAATTTTGTCATATGAAGTTAGCAAAGCAGCCGAAAAAAAAATTATTAAACGACGAAATTAATTTATTCACAACTAATTAACGACAAATTAACGGCAAAATATTAACAATTAAAAAAAAATATTATTACGAATTTAAGGGAGCTGCCTTGCTAACTTCATATGAAGTTAACAAAGCACCCATAAAAACAAAGAAATATGCGAACGACAAAATTAATTTATTCACAAATAATAAGCGACAAATTAACGGCAAAATATTAACTATAACATTTTTTTTATCAGATATTTAATTTATTTTATTCATATGAAGTTAGCAAAGCACCCTTAAAAACAAAGAAATATTCGAACGACAAAATTAATTTTTTCACAACTAATTAACGACAAATTAACGGCAAATTATGCATCTAATCACTTTTTGATTAGCGATGGATGCTTTGCTAACTTCATATTCATAATTTTATCTGTACAGATAAAATTAATTCTATAATTTTTTAATGTAAACTCATCAAAATTCATTGCATTTATTTTATATGTACACATTAAATTAATTGTATCATTTTTATTAAAAATAAAATTATGTGTACACATAAAATTAATTGTAAAATAAAAATGAATGAATAAAATATTCAACAATGTTTTTAGTTTCACAATAATTCCAATATAAATTTTAAAGTAAAAAAATAAAGGCCCTCATACTAAATAAAAATGGACCAAATTTAAATAACGCAAATATTAATTCAACCAACAAAATAATATGTAAAATGTTTAAATACATTCGTCAGGTCAAATATTTAAATGCGTATCAAATTAAAATGAATCATAAAAAATAATTATTATTATGCCTAGACATAATAATAATTCGCTATTTTTCCTATATGTTTCCATTAAATTTGAATTAAATTTACCTTTGCTTGCCATATATGGCATTATAATTTTATTTAATTGTCATTATGTCAAACATAATTAAAATTATAAAAAATTAGGTATATAGGTATTCCATAATTTTAAAAAACCTACTTTAATTTTCTTTTACTTTTAAAACATTTACGATTTAAAAGGGAAATGGCGTGCCATATATTTGTAAACATTATTTAGATTAATTAAAACTAAAACCTTTTAAACCACAATTTTATTACAACATTAAAATCCATGCCAATCAAACTTACAATATTGATATGAGCGTAATGTTATGTATCTCAACCAAGAATGTCCCTTTTTCTCGACCCCGTTTTCTCCCCGTTCCCTGATTCCGTCACTGCTCCTCTTTGTTGTTCTAGACCTAACATACATTGGTCACTTATTACGATTAATTATATTTTTGGGCAAATTTTGCATTACTGTTGCCATCACATTGATTAAATTAAAATGTATAAAAATAAAGATAAGGCAGTACAAATCTTTTTTATCTGATTATTTTTTTATTTATTTGAGTTCCTAATAATTTATTAATTTTTATCTTTTAAAAGTAAAACAATCACAACAAAGCTTTACATTGATCCAAACAAACTGTCTTCGGTTTATCCCCCAACAAATACCTATTCTAGACATTTCTTTTGGGCGTGAGTATCTTAGTAATTTAAGCCAAAATATGTTTTAATTTATTAATAAAATTCAATGTAAACTACGTTACCAAATTATTAACAAACTTACTTGCAAATTTCCAGTAAATAGCATTAATTGACGAACTCAAACCAAAATACACACCAAGTAGTCAAGGCTAAACAATGACGAGTCTCAACAGTGCACTGCCAGCAGCTGATAAGTGAATTGGATGCGTTCAGTAATGTGTTTGTATACAGGTGTCCCATAACTAATGGTAAACAGTAAAACTGCAGATTCCTTTGGAAAAAATATCAAAGTTCATTTCATTTAAGAATGTAGTATATGTCGCTGCAAAACGAGACCGGTTTACACATGATAACGCGGTATATTTAAATATAATGGCCGCTGATAAAATATTATTATGTAACAACAAATATGGACAAATGTACAATGTAAAAATAATTTACTATAATAATTAAGACCTTTAGACACAGAAAAATATATGTATTGTATTATTTTTAGAAAATAAGACGAAATTAGGATTAAATTAAAAAACATAACCTTAATTATTCGACTGCATTCTTTATTTAAATGTCAGTGGGATTTTATGTGGAACACAACCTGTGTAACGTCAAATTTACAATTTGCATTGTATCATTAGGTAGCTTTAGATTTACGCGCAATCACGCGCGATTGGAGCGCCACGTTCCAATCGCGCGCGAAAGAACGTCAGTGTAAATACTAATAATCACTCGGTTTTTAGACGTCTTAAAACCTGCATGATAACCCACGTTCTTTCCCAAGGGATTTTGTGCAGTTCAGTTTTTTAAGTTGTTTTAACTTTCGCGCGGTTAACCTTGTTAAATTTCAAGACTGTATAATCCATTCGCAAATAATTTTTAAAATCCATTGGAAAATTATCACGCAACTCATTTATCAAAGGCATATGTACGAAGGCGTAGAAGGGCCAACAAAAATTTTACAAATTTTAGCCAAAACTAACTTTGATTTTTGCAATTTCTATTCTATAATTGTAACTTGAACCTACAATTGTAACTTGAACCTACAATTGTAACTTTAACTTACAATTGTAACTTGAACCTACAATTGTAACTTGAACTTACAATTGTAACTTGAACCTACAATTGTAACTTGAACCTACAATTGTAACTTGAACTTACAATTGTAACTTGAACCTACAATTGTAACTTGAACTTACAATTGTAACTTGAACCTACAATTGTAACTTGAACCTACAATTGTAACTTGAACCTACAATTGTAACTTGAACTTACAATTTTATCTTGAACCTTAGACTGGGCCAAAAAAATCAACTATTTTTTTTATGTATATCGAAAATATGGTAGGTATATTATTATATCATCGCAATTTTAATTTTTTTTCCTCAGCAAGTTTTTGTCTCAGAACTCCCAAACCATTGAGTTTAACAAAATTGGCTCGAAAATATTATTTTAAGAAAATTAAACTTTTTTTTTCAAACTTCAATTTAAATTCTGTTTGAGCCGAACTTGTCTATTTAATGTCATTATAAACTATTATAAATTTGGTGTGGGTCCCATGTCTAATAACTGAAATATTGGTATACCCAAAATCCACCAGCCGCCACTGCAATATTCCAAAGTTTTCCAAAAGAAATTGTAAAACTAAACCAATTTTTAAGGCATGATTGTAAGAAAACGGTTCATCTGACGGGAAATTCCAATTAAACCTTTTTTGTATAACAATCAATTTTCTTCAAAAAATATTCTTAAGTCAATTTTGTTAAACTCAATGATTTGGGAGTTCTGAGACAAAAACTCGCTCAGGAAAAAAAAATCTTAATATTAATATTATGGACTCAAACTTTCACAATATTTTTTTTTTGTCACCTCAAACCATATTTTCGGTATACTTTTCAAAAAAAAAATAGTTGATTTTTTTGGCCCAGTCTATTGAACCTACAATTGTAACTTGAACTTACAATTGTAACTTGAACTTACAATTGTAGGTTCAAGTTACAATTGTAGGTTCAAGTTACAATTGTAAGTTCAAGTTACAATTGTAAGTTCAAGTTACAATTGTAGGTTCAAGTTACAATTGTAGGTTCAAGTTACAATTGTAGGTTCAAGTTACAATTGTAGGTTCAAGTTACAATTATAGAATAGGGAATTGCAAAAATCAAAGTTAGTTTTGGCTAAAATTTGTAAAATTTTTGTTGGCCCTTCTACGCCTTCGTACATATGTCCATATTTGTTACGATTTTCCATCCAACAAGTTGCTGTTAGGTAAAAGTTGTTGGCAACAACTCCTTTTCTGACGATTATTTAGAGTATTCAGATAGGCCAAGCACAAAGCTACTTTTATTTTTCGTTTTTGGTTTTTAATTTTGTCCATGTTGGACAATCCGTCTATAAAACTGTTGAAATTTTTAACACTCCAGAGGGCAGGACTAGAACGAGTGAAACTTGACAGTTTTTGATTTACACTAGCACTTTTATCCTCTACGATTTACAGTACAGGCCAAAACCGCGCGATTGGAATGTTGCAATTTTAAGAAAACAAATTTTAGAACGCGACACTCTTGGCCACGCGAAAAAACGCGCGATTGGAACGTGGCGCTCCAATCGTGCGTGATAGCGCGTAAATCTAAAGCTACCTATTGTGTCAGTTTTGTAATTAAGGTAAATTCATACAACATGTCTATTTTTTGACAGAATCTGGTCACTTTAAACTGTTCCACTGGAACATAGCTATGTACTAGTATATATTTTAATGTTTTAATATGATTTTATAATATAAAAAAATCAATTATACACAGTAAAAAATTTCGGTAAAAATACCCATAAAAATATGGAATTTTTAAACTATAATTTATGGAATTTTAATTTATACTTAATTTATTGTGTATTAGCTAAATGTTACACAACTTTTTATTGAATAGAGATTCGAAACATCTTTACCGAAAATAATCTGCAAGTATATACAAAATATAATATGTTATTTAAAATTTACATAATATTTTATGTGGTTTACAGAAAATATTGTGTAAACTCAAAGGGTCGCGTGACTAACCAAAGATATCTTTGAACATAACCTCTTTTAAAGTTGATGGCGTTGTTTGCAGGTATCGATAGTTAAGTGCTTTGTTTTAGGTTTTATATAAAATTCAAACCGTTTTGAATCAAACGTAAGTATATATAAGAATGGATCTACATACAGTGGTGGAAAAAAGTATGGAATATTTTTGTACTTTGTATTATTTTAAATTAACGTTGTCCATAATCTGTTTAAAATCTGAGCAAGTTAATTTAGCGTAGAAATAGTCAATTAACGAATATTTCCTTTATATACAACGGCTTATTTCGATATTTTGTAAAAAAATGCAATGTGTTCTGGAAAAAAGTATGGAATATTATATTCATATTGATCAAAAATTGACAAAAAATCAAATAATTCAATATTTTGTGGCGTAACCTTTCGCATCTATAACCGCTTGACATCTTCTAGGCATAGAATCCACCAGTTTCTGCAATGTGTCCAAAGGAATTTGTTGCCACTCTTCCTTTATGGTTTGGAGAAGTTCGTTTTTGTTTGCAATGTTTTTTGTTCGAATTCGACGGTCTAATATTTCCCAAAGGTGCTCAATGGGATTGAGATCGGGGGACTGAGAGGGCCATTCAAGCACAGTTACGTCTTTTACCAAAAACCACTCTTTAACAATTTTCGAGGTGTGCTTGGGATCGTTGTCTTGTTGAAATATCCAAGAAAGTGGCATCTCTTCCTCGGCAAATGGTAACATGGTATTCTCTAAGATGTCCCTGTATTGGAAACGATCCATTATACCCTCTACTTGAATCAATGGTCCAGCCATGGATCCAGAAAAGCATCCCCAAACCATAATGCTTCCTCCACCATGTTTAATAGTGGGAATTTGGTATTTAAAATTGTATCTCTGTCCTACTGGCCGTCTCACAAACGTTCTACCATCAGAACCGAATAAATTAAATTTACTCTCATCGCTCCAAAGTACAGAGTTCCATTTTGCCTGAGTCCAGTTCAAGTGGGATTTGGCAAATGCCAGACGGGCAGCTCTGTGTTTCTTCGAAAGCAGTGGTTTTTTAACGGCAACTCGACCATGTAGTCCCGCATCAATTAGGCGATTTCTCACAGTTCTGCTCGTCACATCAAGATTAAATTGTGTGGATATTTCTTCAGTAATTTGTCTTGATGTCTTCCGAGGATCTTTAAGAGAGAGTCTTTTTATTGTTTGGTCTATCATGACAGTAGTTTTTCTGGGACGTCCTGACTTGCGTCGAGTCTCAACACCACCTTGAGTATGAAATTTACTCAAAATTTTACAAACAGCACTCTGACTAATATTTAATGTTTTTGCCACATCAGATTGCGTTCGGCCACTTTGATAAAGTTCAACTATTTTTTGCCTAAATTGAACTGAAAAGTAAACGTGTTTAGGCATGATTACGTTGAAACGTACTAGAATTGTGCGAAAATATTAAGAACTAATGCAAAACTGGTCGCAATTGAAAGATTATTCCATACTTTTTTCCAAGCAAAAACTCAGAAGATAAAAAAAAACAAACAAAACAATGATATGCAGCAATTAAATAGTACGCTACACATTATAATTAAACAAGATTTCTTGTAACCAAATAACAAAAGTTTTAAAAATTGTTAGGGGCCTAAAATCCAAATATTAAAAATATTCCATACTTTTTTCCACCACTGTAGGTATATGTGCTATTTGTGATTTGAAATTTGCAAGTATTAACAATTACAACAAACATCAATACTTTCACAGAAATTGTAGTGGCATTAGATTTTATTGTGCTTATAAACATTGCTCTCTTCAGTTTCGTAATTATAATGCTTTTAAAAACCACATTTTTCGAAATCATGTAAACTCTGGAATAAAATATTTTTCATGTACCTACCGTGCAGCAATGTAAATTTAAATCAATGAATAGGAACTCATTTTGTCAGCATATATATAAACATATTAATGATGGATTAGAGATAAAATGTCCTTTACAAGCAGTTTGCAGGTGTAAAAATATTTTTTCAACTGCTTCTAATTTAAGATCTCATTTTATGAGACGACATTATAATACTTCCAACAAAGATATAATTCCACTACAAGAAATCCGTAATAAAAATACTAATGGACATAACACTAATATCATTGACATGTACCAATTAGTAGAAGACAATACTAGTAACGAAGGCAATAATAGTAATGATTTATTTGCCTCAAGTTCTTGTAACGATATTAAAAATATGTCTTTAAAATTATTATCTAATATGTATTTAACATTGCAGTCAAAATTTTTTTTGACAGACAAATCTTTAGACAAAATTACTGAAACATTTTTCGACATAGATAACCTTAATTTTGAGTATATTAAAAAAAAATTATTGCAGAATAATATTTCCTTGCAACCAGAAACTTTACAGTGTATTTCGGAGTCTTTAATGAATTTTACAAATAATCCTTATTCAGGTGTATTAAGATCTTCATATTTAAGAAAATTATATTTTCAAAACAATTTTGATTACATACATCCTCTTAAAGTTTTAATAAACGATGGCAATAGTTTTTATTACTATATTCCAATTTTAGAAACATTAAAAGTACTAACTAAAAATAAAAATGTTCTGGAACAGATACTAACAATTCCAGAAAAAAAATCTGGTTGCTATTCAGATATTCACGATGGACTTTTATGCAAGAAAAATGTTTTACTTAATAAAAATTTGTTTAATTTAAAAATTATATTATACCAAGATGCATTTGAAATCTGTAATCCTTTAGGTTCAGCTCGGGGTAAAAATAAATTAGTTGGTGTATATATGACCCTGGCAAATCTTTTCCCTTGGAATAGAACACATGTAGAACATATTCAGCTTGTTGCATTATGTTTTGAAAAACATGTTAAACGTTTTGGATTTTCAGTATTATTAAGAAAATTAATTGATGATCTAAAAATTCTAGAAAATGATGGAATATTAATAAAAGATGATCTAACTTTAAAAGGTACTGTTGTAGCAATAGTTGGTGATAATTTAGGGAGTCATCAGTTAGGCGGATTTGTAGAATCATTCAACACAAATAGATATTTTTGCAGGTTTTGCTACATTAATGAATTTCCAAGTCGTAGTTTAGAACATTTTCCTTTCAGAACTCCAGAATCGTACAATTATGATGTGTTAATGTCCTGTGAAACCGATTTAAACAATTATAGGGGTGTAAAATCAAATTCTATTTTTAATGAACTTTTATATTTTCATATTTGTGCACCGGGTCTTCCCTCTTGCTTAGCCCATGATATTTTAGAAGGTATTATAGCTTACGATTTAATGTTGGTTATAAATAAATTTGTGAAACTAAAAATTATAACATACGATGAACTTAATCAGGAAATAAAATCCTTAAATTTTTTTGGAGAACAAAAGCCTTCAATTGCAAAAATAAAAAAATCGGACAAAATTGTAGGTTCTGCTAGCGAAATTCTATATATTTTTAATATATTTCATATTATACGAAAAACAACTTTTAGCAGAAGAGTATTGGGAACACTATGAATTAATTTTAATTCTGCGCAAAATTCTCAATATATTATTAGCATTCAAAATATCAATAGATCAAGTTGCTCTATTAAAAAGTTATATAACAGAATACCTAGAACTAAGAATTCAACAGTTTCCTTTAGTTAAGTTGAGACCAAAACATCATTTTTTAACGCATTATCCAAAGTTGATTAATCTTTTTGGTCCGTTAAGACTTCTTTGGACAATGCGTTTCGAAAGCAAACATAAATATTTTAAAGATATAATTAGACACTCTCCTAATTTTAAAAACGTTTTATTAACAATCTCTACTAAACACCAATTACTTCAAGCTCTTACTCTTTCCATAAAAGATATGTTTAACCAAAAAATTCAATGTGACAAATGTGATACATTTATTGTTACAGGTTTTTCCGAAAGTACGTTAAAAATTTTAAATGAAAAATGTCCATTAAACAGATTTAAGGCAATAACTAATGAATTATTAACTTATAAAACAAATATGTACATTTGCTATGATAAAGATATTTATGGAATTTACTCATTATGCAAAATTTCTTGCATTTTAATTTGTCAATCAATGCTCAATATATACTTTCTTGGAAATAAGTTAGAAATTGTCTACAACGAAAGGAAGGGTATTTATGAAGTGAACAGTCAAAATGAAAATGAAATTTGTATATCTTATGGGGACCTTATTTGCATAGAGCCTTTATTACATATAAAACGTAATAATTATGATCTGTTTTATTTTAAATCGGCTCCTCATGAACTTATATAGTTTAATTATTTTTTTGTATATTTCTTTGTATATGAATACATTGGTCATAAATTTATTATTAATGTTAAAAGATGTTTAAATAGTTTTTTAATAGTTTTTAATTACAATAACTCTGTTCAAAAAAATAGGCTGGGTAAAGTTCCCTTCTATTTTTTTATGTGTAAAGCTTCTAATGGAATTTTCAGTAAAAGTCGCTAATACCTCAAACAAAATCAAAAATTGAATTTTCTATAAAACAAAAGTGCATTAAATGGGCTTCCGCTTTAGTCTTGGAAACATTATTCCATTGGTCGCTTTTACCTTTGCATACCCATTTTTAAAAAAATATTTTTGCTATTTCTTGGTAACTGTAGTACTATTTAAAGTTTTGTATATATTATATATATATAATGTGTTTAGATTGTTAATGCAAAAAAAATCCAAACTTGTGATTTTCAAAGAATTGATTCGCCTTTAACAAGCCGTTACATTAGATAATTCTTTGGGCAATCTGACATGTAAAATAAGTTATTTTATGTATTCGTAGGTTCTTAAGTTGTAAAAACATTAATTTTAATATGAAAAGTGTTTATAAGATTTGGTCTAGAAACAGGGAAACAAAGTGTATGATTCTAATAGACGAGGATGAAGAAAATAAATATAACACAATTATTTTGAAAGGTATATTATACTGTTATTTTTAATTGTACATAAATATTAAGGTTATTTATTTTTAGCATCGCAGAAGCTTCAGTTAAATGGGTCGCAATTAGTTCTTGAAGAGGATGGCACACCTGTTGAAGAGGAACTTTTAGACCATATCAAGGAAAAAACATTAATTTTATTGGAACCTAATAAAGTTTGGATTTCCCGAGACTATGAAGAAAAAGAAAATAAATCCTTTAGTACAATGTCAACTGCCACCAACTCAACATCCACCAACTCAACATCCACCAATTTGTCTTCAGAATTACAAGAAGTAAATTTTGTCAATGAATTTGGATCTGAAGTGGAATTAAAAGTAGACTGCAATACAGAATATTTTTGGCACACATTTAGAGTACCTTGGAATGTACTAAGCAATACAGAACATGAACAATTAAAAAATGGTATATGTTCAAAGGTTTCTAAATCCAAATTAGTACACGGAATTGTGGATGAAATGAGGCAATTAAAAAAATACATTCCATCCAAAGCCTTTAAAGTAATTAGTCACCAAGTTGTAAGTAAATATCCAAAGGCACTACGAGATCAAGATGAAGATGGTATAATACTTGGAGATGGGACCCATTCTTTTTTTAGTAAATTACAGGAAAGAAACAATTATTTAAATCGGCCACACAAAAGACACCATAAAGACAACTCTAAAGAACAATCACCTATTTTAATAAAGAAAAAATATGTTAGTGCCAGAGCAGGGTGTTCCAATTGGTCCCCAAATTCATTGATAGAACAGAATGTGAATGAAATCATAACCCCTTTAGACAACAGTTTTGAAGAACTAATGACCAAGTCTTTCCCAGAGCAAAGGCATTTTTTAAATTCTACACCTGCTCCAACTTCATCTCAAATAAGAGAGGAATGGCCTATATTGATGTCAATTAATGGTATAAGGTGGCATTTTGACGAGTTAAAGAAATCAAACCTTAATTCATTTGATAACATAAATGATAAATGTGATAAGGTAGTCTCATTTATAACAAAAAAAAACAAATCAGTCCTGGGTGAAAATGAACCAGTAAATTCCGATATTTTGATGCTTATCTGTTTGGCTAAACACTTTAAAGAAAATATGGAACTATTCTACAAACAAACACAGGTAATCATATTAATACATGGATACTTGGTTATCTGTATTTTAATGGTACAGAGAGAATTAACTGATCCCTAGAGGAATTCAGTAAATTTTCTTTGTGTATCATTTACATTGTTTACTTAAATTATTATTTGTTTATAGGAAGCCGAACTTGATAAATCCCAAATTCCGTCTACAGCCTTTATACATCACGTATGCAATGATGGTAAGTAAACGTTTTATATAATTTTTTCAAATCTGGACATGTACCCAGGTGTTTATTATATTATATTTTTATGTCATACCTACTTTCTATTTTTAGACATAGAAAATGCCCAATACTATGTATATTAGAATTAATCGATTATGAAGGATATCAAGACTTCAAGACAGCGTTTAAAGTAGCGTTTGCTTCATTTTTTATTTTTAATTTAAAATATCCTACCAATTGTTCATGCACTTTGGAATTAATACAAAGATACATTTTTAAAATTCATCCTGACGCAGGGAGTAAGTCTAAAAACCAATCAAAAAAAAAAGTTCTTAATTTGTTAAAAAATTTAATGAGTTAGATTTTAAAAATAAAAAAAGTTTAGATTTATAGTATGATACCCACCCACATCGATATACATACAGTTTATGTATGAAACTTTGTAATATATCGATGTGGGTATCATATACCTTTGTAATATATCTGCGTTATGTTTTTCTTTTGCTCCTACTTTTTACTTTTTTCTCTTCCATTTTTTAGGGTAATTTGGGTGCTCTGAATAAGATAAAAACTCATTTTTTTATCATATATAATGGTATATTTGTGTTTTTCGATGTATGATTTTAGTTAAACCAGTGTCCAAAGAAAACGGAAAGATCGATCGGGATTAATTATATATTGTTAGAAAGGTAATTAAATTATACGTCCAACGGTACCCAATTTATTTCGATCTGATAAAACATGTTATAGCTGATGAAGGTTCAAACTTTATGCAATTTTTGACAATTTTTAGCTATTTTGTATGGAAAGATTTAAGCTATTTTACCTGGAATTTAAGCTTTCATCAGCTTTATCCGATCGAAACGAAGTAGGTTCCTTTGGACCCATATATAATTATAATTTAATCACCTTTTTATTATAATTTAATCACCTTTTTAGTTATACTGATAAAACACAAATAAACCGTTACCTATATATAGGTGAATGGCCCAAATGGGAAAAAATTAGTATATTTTTCGTATTCAGGGCACTCAAATTACCCTACAAAAATATAAGAGAAAGTTTCTATATTTTTTTGCTGTAAATCAGTGTATTAGAATAAAGTATACTATAGGAGCAAAATTTTTATCTGTTTAATTATAAGGTTTTTTATTTTTGTAACAAGTTGTCATAAGGTGACAATTTCCTTTTAAAACAACTATAATTATATAAATATTAATATTTATTATATATTATTATAATAATAATATTAATTATTATTATTATTATTATTATAGTTGTTTAGAAAGTAAATCACTATCTTGTATTTTTAGAGGAAATGTTAAAATTATAAAGGAGTTTTGTTTGATTAATGTAAACATTTTTATTTCTTAAAATATATTGTTCCTACCAAATTTTAGTCTTTTTTTCTCATGATGTTTGTCTAATTTGATTCACTAAGCCAAAGAGTACTTTATACAATACAATAGGTAGGTACTTAGTTCCTTTGGTACGTAAATGTTTCATTGTAAGTATTAATATCGATGGTTAAACGGCAAAAGTCTATAACCCGCAAATGTTGCTTTTATAGGAAGCGAAAAAAAATTATAAATATTTTATTTTATAAAATTTATTTCCATTTCTTGTACCAATATTTTTTTGGTATTCTTATAAAAGAATTATACGTTTTAAAAAATAAAATATTTATATATATATTTCGTTTCCTATAAAAATCTTTGATGTGATGATATATATATATATATATACAGCATTCTGCGCATATTATATAAGGGTCATTCCACGTTACTCGGGGATTTTTGTCCCGCCCGTCACAATTAAAAATTGTTAGTAAATACTACACGTTATAAAATTTATTTAAAAATATTATTTTATTATGCTTTTAATAAGTTATAAGCACAATAAAAATAATATTATAAAATATTAATTTTATAACTTGTGGTTTTTACTCACAATTTTTAATTGTGACGGGCGGAACAAAAATTACCGAGTAACGTGGAATGCCCCATAAATTAATATGTATTTTAACATAATGTATTCTGTACAATTAACAGAATAAATACTGTATAAGTTAAGAAATAAACTATATATTCTGCGCATTTTACATAAATTAAAATGTGATCTAGCATTTTTTTAAAGAAAAATGTACGGAATAAATAATGTACTAATTGAGAATTACATAATATATACTGCAACATATTTTACAGATTATTTTTGGTACATTTAATTTGCAGAAAATATTCTGTGATGATATTTCATAATCTTTTATGTAAAATATTTTACAGAAGATTACGTTGGTTACTATGTGGCCAACGTAATTTTCTGTAATCTTTTTTTACTGTGTACACTGAGTTTTATTAAAAATGTAAGAAAAAGTAAATAGTAAATAAAAGGAAAAAATCTATTTTTCATTTGAATGTAAGCATACATCCATGGATTTAAATCCATAAATAAATTTATGCACGATGACATTATAATATGACAATTATAACAAAAATTCTTTGACGTAAACGTCTTTTTATAGCCCGCGGGCGTTATTATGACCCAGCGGGCTATAATGAAACGTCAAAAATTAAAAACAACAATGTTACACCATTTGATATATTCGATGTAAGTTTTTTCGTATAAAAATTTTGATTTTTTCGGCAGCAGGCCGCAATTTTTCGCCTTTTCAGCTGCTTCCTCAATTTCATTCATCTTTAAACTTTAAAACTGACTGATGTCAGTTGACATTATAATATGACAATTATAACAAAAATTCTTTGACGTAAACGTCTTTAAAAACAATAATATATTAAAAATAATAATATATTAATCGTGCATAAAGTTTTGTATGCATTGCTGGCATAACTGGTTTTTATGGTCCTACGACGCTTTTCTAGCCCTCGCGCTAATGCGCTCGGGCTCGAAATAGCGCCTCGGACCATAAAAACCTTATTATGCCCTTAATACATAAATAACTATTATGTCCGCTTATTACGAACCCGGTATAGCGAACTTCTGGTTTAAACGAACCAATTCGAATAGTATCTACGAACCAGTGTTGCCAGGTGAAGCAAAACAAAAAGTGGTACCAACTTCTCGATTTAATGGTACACACAACTTGTGTGACACAAGTTCTTTATTTAATGGTATTCAATAGTACACATTTCATTTTGAAATATCCAAATATTACATTGAATGAAATATTTAATTTAAACATATTTTTTGATCGTGAGTTTATAGTTCTCCAACTGTCAAACCACAGAAGTTCTGTGACAAAACGTACATTCTTCAGAAATTCAGGAAATTACAGAACAACATTTATCGGTTGCGGCGTGCAACTTGCGCGCTTCTCTGGTTTAATATCATAAACATTTAATAGAGGGCGCGGGAAAATGTAATTTGCACATTTAATCCCGGGATTGCAACATCCATGGATGTTCCAAAAAAAAATTAAATATAATTCAAAAACTTTTATTGTTAAAAAGGAAAATTAACAAAAAAACTCTTAAACTAACTTAAAGGTTTATAAATTTTTAAAAAAATACCGCAAAAATATTAGTGCGTCTAAAGTTTCATCTCCCAGCCTTGAACGTATTTTGTTACATAAAAATCCTGCATGCAGAAGAAAAACCTCTCTCAGATTCGTGACCTTCTAACCTCAATAGCTCGAAATCTGTTCAATATTTTTTCTTAGTACCAGAACAGTTTTTATCAATAGACTACACACAACTAGAACATATCCAAAATTCAGACATTTTCATTGAAGTCCAAACTCCCATTAGTTTTGTGCGGGGTCATTTACATTATTTTAGTATTAAAATTAAAATCATGCATTACCTACCTTTTTCTTTATTAGCCTCTTGGCACGTGAGATCCATTTTACACAATAACTAACAAATTTGAAAGTATTTGAATAGAATAATAATAGTAAATTATAATTATTGTGCGGCGGTGATTCCCCAAATTCCGGTTTAAGTGTGCGTCATGTTTTCGGATTGCAGGTTGCTTTCGCGTTAATTATTTTTGTTTTGAAATAACGTAAGTAAGCTAATTAATATATGCATTGACATCCCTACTATACACTGTATAAGTATGCAAGAAATTACATTTTCCACCCTAAAGGTGAACACAAGTTCCAAATTAGCATTAAATTTAAAAAAAAATCCGTCTAAAAAATAATGGTACATAATGATACAAAATCGTAAAAAATGGTACATAAATTGACGATGGTACAAAGTACAAAAAATGGTTTAAATAAAATTATAATGGTAAATACCATTATAATGGTACGACTGGTTCGTAGTACGAACCAAAGTCCTATATAAAGTTTGTTAATTTCGCAAATAACAAACATCGCTTAAAGGAACCATTGTTCATGGTCCATTAGGTACTGTTCGTTATAAGCTGATACTACTGTGACAATATTTGTTAAGAAATATTTAATTTATTTGATTAAGTGATAATTTAATATAATATTTATTTATCGATTTATATCTTAATATATAATTAAATTGGGTTTAATGTATTGTAACTGATAAGGAAATAATTATCTATTGTATATCTATTATAGGTACTATATCTATTATAGGTACCTATGTATTGTGTTTGGATTTTTAAAAATTCATTCTGAACAACTTATGTCTCTACTAGGGAATGCAATCTTGCAGCAAAATATACAATCTTGGTATTGCAAGATTTAAGAGGTTTAATATCGCAAGATCTCAGTATTTTGCGAGATCTCGCAGATTTAAGGTTAATAAAAAAAGAAATTTGTATAATTATTTGTATTACAACTTTGTTAGGTTATATCGTAAGGGCAAAATAATAAAATAAAACATTAATAAAATAATTTATTTAAGACTATTCCATCATTCTTTACTTTGTGGACCAATCAGATTTCAGAAAACGAGTTACATAGCAACCAATTGTCATAAAAAATCACAAACGAGTGTTTTTTAGTGCTGCAGCGATAAAACTACTATTTAGGTGAAAAATCACTCGTTTATAAATACGAGTTGCATAACATTCAATTTTCTTAGTTTCTTTAAGAAACTTTCTTGACCCATTACTGGTAATATTCATAAGAAAAAATTGAACCTAAACCTCGCCAAAGTTTTTTGTTTTGATTGCGTTTCACCAACTTCAAATACCGACAGACAGCTGTTTCGACCTATATTGGGTCTCATCAGTGTCGGGCAACTTGGTGCATAACAACCAATAATTGTCATGTCTAATTTTAAAATAAAAATGTCAAAAAATATTCGTTTTGGTCAAAAAAATCATCATACAGAAATTGAATCGGCAGTTAATTTTAATTAAAAAAAAATGTTCCTGATAACATTTTTCCTAAAAAAAATTTTGATTTTTATTTACTCAAGTTTTTCTTGGAAATTTCGCTCGTGGCATTAATTTAAAACCACGAGCCGCTAGGCTTAAAGCTTTAAAATTAATGCCATTTGCGAAATTTCCAAGAAAAAAACATTCGTTTTTACTAGTGGTATTTAATTTTATATACGAATAATCATCAAGCTATTGAAGCAAAAAACATAAACATGACTAAAATTATTTATTGAAAAAACTATACAATATTTTGAAAATGACTTTTCAAAATAAACACAACACACATGTAATGCGCTGCGTCCTAATCTCGGAAATCTTGCGAGATCGCGCCTGATTTTCGTGCAAGACTAATCTTGCAGAGTAAGTGCGAGATCTTGGTATTTCGAAATCTTACTCTACTTACCACCAGAGCTGGCCAAGTACTAAGTACTTTTACTCGTATTTATATTTCATAAGTATTTTTCATTTAAAATACTTATTACCCGTACTTACAAACCAAATTCAATGTACTCGTAAAAAATACTATATCTGTACCTCAGAGGTAAAGTGTACTAAGTCACATAAGTAATATTTTACAGGAGAGCATAAAAACGTTAAAAAAACTGATTAATTCTCCATTATTTTCTCATTTTTATTATTTGTAAATTCAAATTCATATGACAATGATTTAAATACATTACGTTTACAATGTAGTAGATTTTTTATTTTTTTTCAAATTAGAAATTTGATGTATTGGACTTGGTACATTTTATCTCGAAAAAAAAATTGAAATTGTGGACATAGTACTCATTCTAATATTTACAGTTTTTAACTAAAAAAATTAAATCAGCAGAAAAAAATGATTTTTTTCAAGTTTTACGTAAATGGATATTTA